GTTCAACAGGGACAGAGTCGTTTGGGAAGAAGAGAGAGTTCTGGAGAAGATGCAGCTGCGCGAATGTGCTTAATGCCCCTGGACGTGGTGAAAGCGATAAATTTCATGTTACGCATGTTTTGCTGCAATAAAAAATTTTAAAACAATTCATCAAGGTTTTTTGTCGTTGTTGTTAATCCTCACAGGGGGATATTGTTTCTGTTGATTTCTAGGGAGAGAGAGGAGGGGGAGGGAGGGGAGAGAGGGGGGGACGCCTCGATGGCTCCGTCCCGCACACGCCCCGATCAGACCTGCAGCTGAGGAGCGTGCCCTTGACCGGGAATCGAACCCACAGCCCTTTTGGTGCGTGGGCCGAGCTCTGACCACGGACCCACACTGGCCAGGACGCCGTCTTTTAATTTACTCCGCCATAGTGCTGAGCCCAGAGCCGGACGCTGCGGAGGGCTCGCCGCGCTGTGGACAGAGGGTAACACCTGTCGCAGGCTGACCACCCGTCGCCGTGAGCTGAGTGGTCCACGTGCACGATCGCACAGACTCCTCGGGGCCGGCGGTGTGGACAGACCAGCACCGCGGTTCGAGGCGTGGACCCTGGAGCCGGGCGGGCTGGGCCCAGTGCCCGCCCTGCTCCAGCCGAGGAAGGTTGGGGACGCCCCTCTCTCTGTGCGTCAGCTGCCATCCCGAGGAGGGGCTGCGAGAACTGACAGCCTGCCGGACACAGGGGTCCGTCCAGGTCCCAACACCCAGGCCCGTGAAGGCTGCCTTGTCTGGAAAAGGGTCTTTGCAAAGGCAATGAAGCACCTTGAGACGAGAGCATTCTGGATTAGGGATCAGAGGCCAGGGAGGCCCCGAGTCCAATGCCCATGTTCTCACCAGAGAGGAGAAGACACGGGGAGAACAGGAGGCCCTGTAACGGCGCGGAGCTCGAGGGTGCGGCCACAGCCGAGGCACCCGGAGCCACTGGAAGTGTGAGAGCACCCGTGGGCGCGCACGGCCCGGCTCACCCTGGTCTTGATGTTCTTGGCTCTGTACGCGTACAGCAGGGTGGTCCTGGACTCCTCGAAGGACGTGCTGGCGGGACTGATGTGAGCGATCATCACCGTCCGGCTGTTCCCTCCCAGGGCGTCCTGCTCAGCAGGGGGCGTGAGCTGGGGGTGACGGGAGGAGGCCCCCCCTGCCCAGAGGGGCTGTGTGTCCCCCACCTACTCCAGGCCTGTCTGCACCAGCCCCGGAGGTTCCCGCACCAAACCCTGAGAAGGGCAGCGGCTGCCTGGACCCAGGGGTCAGTGCTTGGGCGGTGACGCTCAGGGTGCACGAACTATCTGACTTCCGCTCTGATGGGCGCGGATCAGACCAGGGGGCCGAGTCTACAGGGACACTCCTTTTGGCGTTGCCTGTCTGTTTATGGAGAGCCCGCCCTGCTGTAGGACAGAGGTGGCAGCCTCCAGCTCAGTGGAAGGGGGACTTTCTCACAGACTGTCCCTGTCGGGACAGGCAGCCTTGATGAGGCAGTGAGCTCCCTGTCCCTGGAGGTATGCGAGTGTGGGCTGCGCCACACTCAGAGGGTGGTGGGGGCAGTCAGGCCGTGACTAGAGGTGGTTTCTACCATGTTTTCCTGCCTTTGGGGTTCCTGGAAGGGTCCTTAGACCCAGGTTGGGGGCTCTCTCCTGGCAGGTAAGTCCTGAGAGGTGCAGTTAGCTGAGGCAGCAGCACATACATGTCCACCCACGCATACACACCCATATGCACACACACATGCACACACACATATGCATGGGTACATGCATGCACACACACATCTGTGAGCACGCACATGAATGCACCCATATGCACACCGATATATATGTGCACATGCACACATATACACACATATACACATGGATATACATGTGCACATACACATGCGCACACGTATACACACATATACACATGGATATACATGTGCACATGCACATGCACACACATATACACATGGATATACATGTGCACATACACACCCATATACATGTGCACACATACACACATACATATACACATGGATATACATGCGCACACGCATGCACACGCATGCACACGCATGCACACAGCCAGCCGGCAGTTTGTACCTTCAGCAGGCGCGTGAGCTTGCTGTCCCTGAAATTCACGTACTGCGTGCGGCCCCCGCCCTTCTCGCTGAGCGCGTTGATGCAGTTGCCCAGCGCCAGCAGCGAGCGGTTGATGTGAGCGCCCTCCTGCATCCTCTTGCCACGGTTCTGCGTCTGAGTGGGGAGCGGCCCGGCTAGTGGGAGATGGTCTTTCCCACCCACCCTGTGCCCACGCCTGGCCCTGGGGAGGGGACTGAGGTCCAGGGGCCATAACCTGTTCCCCGGTGCTCAGGCCTTGCGGACGCTGACTACACCCCTGAACCCGGGGCCAGGTTCTGATGTAAATGACAGCATCTCACGGGGGCACCGAGCAGCCACTAGAAGGGATGGGGAGCAGGGCGCGGACGCTGACGTTACGAATGAGCTGAATGTGGGGGGAGCGTCTGTGCGGAACCATCTGCACACGGTGAAAATGCGAACGTGGCCCTGGCCGGTGTGCCCAGTGGTTAGAGTTCCGGCCACGCACCGAAGGTTCGCGGGTTCAAGGTCAGCTCAGTGCCCCTTTGCAAGCGCTGTTCCCTCTGCCTGGCATGTTCTACCTCCGCCAAATTCCTTAAGGCCCTACAGGCTCACAGCCGCCACCGCCACCCTCTCCTGGGCTCCCAGAGCCTCTGTGCAGACCCCAATTATCGGCGCAGCTGCAATGATCTGCTCACAACCTGTCTCCCCGGAGCCCCCAGGCTGTGCTCCCTGAGGGCAGGTCTGGTCTCAGGCCCAGGAGGGCTGCCACCCAGAAGCCCCCGGGACACTGCTCAGCTGGCCTCGGGCCTCAGTGTCTGTGACTCATTCACCCAGCGAGCGTTCCGGGGGCACCCGTCCCGGGCCAGGCGCTGTTCTAGGTGCTGAAGGCCCTGCCGGGCACATGGACAGGGTCCGGCTCACAGGCGACAGGCGACAGGATGGGTCAGTGACAGAGATGAGAAGGGCGGGGGGGGTGGTCAGGGGACGCACCTGGGACGCCCGCTCCGAGCCGGCCAGGTCCACCAGGAACAGCCTCCCGAGGCGCAGGCCCTGCCGCGGGGGGGCGCCCCGGCTCTGCTGGCGCACGGTGACCTGCAGCAGGGCGTGGGAGCGGGACGACGTCCCGTTGGCCGCCGTGGGCTCCTGCGTGCGCTGCCGGTTGCCTTTTGTGAGGAGCTGCATGATCTGAGGACAGAGCCCGAGGGCGTGGGTGGCCGGTCAGAGCCCGAGTGGCCACACGCTCCTCCAGAACCGCCCAGGGAAGAGAATGGGGTGCGCCCCCGAGCTCCTCTGGGCAGCTCTTGGCTGCCCCCGTGGCTGGGCGCTGGTGGCAGAACCTGGCCAAGGGGAAGCAGTTTCTGGTTTGCGGCGTGAAATGATGACCTCGTTGAGGAGTGGCAGACGGCTGAGCGTGCGCGGTCCCGTCCCCAACCTCCACCCGTGGCAGACATCGCCAAGGGGCTGCCCACCTCTTCCCCACAGAGCCAGGGCCAGCCCAGAAACCCCCTTTCTTTAAACCCTCACCTGAGGATATTTTTTCTGTTGCTTTTCAGAAAGAGTGGGGGAGAGAGAGAAACATCGATATGAGGGAGACACATCGATCGGTTGCCTCCAGCACGGGGCCCAACCAGGGCCAGGGGTCGAGCCTGCACCCGAGGTACATGCCCTTGGTTGGAATTGAACCCGGGACCCTTCCGTCTGAGGGCTGATGATTAAACCACTGAGCCAAACCAGCCAGGGCAGCCCAGAACCCTTTTCAATGCAGCCGTCGGGGGCGGCAGGTGGGCCGAAACCCACCTGCAAGCAGACAACTGTGGACATAAAGCCCGGAGCTGCTGCTGAGCTGCTGTGTGCACACCCTGCGAGGACCTCAGAGCAGGTGTGAAGAATGGCAGGTAGAGTCCTCGCTGCGGAACAGGCAAGAAGACTCACACCGCCCCCGCCCCAAACCACGGGGATGGGGTGACGGCCACTAGACTCGGGCATCCAGCACGGCTGGAGCACATGGCCATCGGGGCCGGGCTGACCAGGGGCAAGAGGAGCCCTTGAAGGTCTCTGAGCAGGCGGGAGGCCCCCCGAGGGCAGTGTTGGTAAAGGCGGGGCAGGGGGAGCCTAGAGGTAGAGAAAAGCTGTGAGAGACGCTCCCAGCTTTCCCTTCTTACAGGAGTGACACTCGGGGTGGGGATGGCACCCGGCTGTAAGACTGGAGGCACCTTATTGACTGACAGCGGGGATGCTGCCCGAGGATTCTGAGCTGGGGTCTGTGAGTGACGTCTGCCCTGGGCGCAGGCCGGGAGGGCTGGGTGGGGGTGCAGGTGTTTACCACCCCCGAGCTGAGAAATAGCTTTGGGGCTGTGTGTCCAGCTCTGTTGTGAACTTGAACGAGGACCTTGTGGCCTCTGGGAGGTGCGGCCCCTGGACCCTCACCTCCTGGGCGTTGGAGGTGGACACCTCCGTGATGCCCGCGATCTGGATGCTGCCCCTGGCATCTTCCCTCAGGTCCAGAAGCCCCGAGGATGGGTTCAGGAGGTCCCGGATCATTTCGTTATAAATCTGGGGTGAGACAGAGAAGCAGGAAAAGAGGCAGCTCCGGTGGAAAAGAAGGGTGGGGCTCACAGTCACGGGGGCTCCGCCTCCGCAGAGAACCCTGCTGCTCTGAGAGCCGAGGTTGCCAAGCCAGGGGGCACTCGGGAGTAACACGCCCATTTGGCGGGTAAGTCACCTGAGGCAGGTAGGCAGGCTCACCTCCAGGTAAGACATGGACACGCTGTAGTCCACGTTGCCCCGGGTCTCCTCGATGGCCCGGAAGAGGTCGGAGAGGGTCTGCAGGTAGATGCCAGGCTCCGCGTCCATGCCCAGCATGGTGTAGGTCTTCCCAGCACCTGCGGGGGCACCGACACCCACTGAGGCGGGGCTCCCATGTGGGCTCAGACCCCACGGGGACGCGCCTGCCACCAAGACCATTCGCGCCTGCCACCTGTGTGGCGCAAACCCTCCCGGCTGCTGTGACAAGCTAGCCCTCTATTTTGGGAGCAAAGATAAAAAACTGAACAGTCCGATGGCTGCTCTGTGGAGGAAACCTGGGCAGAGAGGAAGGGGAGATGCAGGTGGCGTTACAGGCGTGACACGGGGGCCTCTGTTCTCTCTCCACACTCTCCCCAAGGTGTCCGTGACATTTTGTAACTGAATTACAGGAACACACTTTTTTAAAATTGATTTTTAGAGAGAGGAAGGGAGAGAGAGAGAGAGAAACGCTGATGCGACAGAGAAACATCGATTGGCTGCCTCCAGCTTCCCGCATGCTCCCCAACTGGGGATCGGTGACCCACAACCCAGGTACGTGCCCTTGACCAGAAATCAAACCCGTGGCCTTTCTGTGCACAGGCCGACTCTAACCACTGAGCCACACCGGCCAGGCCTGCATGGCACTTTCTAAAGAAGGTCTTGTCACGGGGAAGCCCTCCCTGCCCCTTTCCTGTCTGCCAAGAGGCAAGGACCAGGCTGCTCTTTCCCTTCGCTAGAGCCTGGCACATGGTAGGTGCTCGCCAATGTTTGTTGAATGAATGAGTGATGTAAACAAGCAGTGGCTTCGGGCAAGGCCCTTCCCAGGGCCTCAGTTTCCCCATCTGCTCAGTGAGGGGTCAGGGTCCACCCGGCTCTGACCCTCTGTGGTTCTGGTTTTCAGGAAGCGGCTCAGCTCTGTGAATATTCGCCGACCCTGGCTCGTAACCGCAGGGGAGAAATCTATGGTTCCGTCGGGAGACGCAGCACAGGCTGGGCTGAGCCCCAGACTCACTCCCACCAGCTGGGTGGCCTTGGGGAAGCCACTGTTCCTCTCTGAGGCTTTGTTTTCTCCTCCATGAGAAGGGGATCGTTCTACCTGCCTTTCGGGGCTGCTGCATGAAAGGAGCCTATGGGTGCAGAGGCCAGCACAGTGGCAGCACACAGTAGGTGCTTTGGGCTGTTAGGAAGAGTCCGCTGCCACCAGCCCCATTCCCTCCTCGGGACACTGCCCTGGTACCTGAGGGGCCATAGGCAAACACCGTTGCGTTGTATCCAGAGACGACGCCTTCCACCAGGTGCTGGGTGGTGGCACGGTACACGTCCTCCTGTGGACAGACAGGAGGCCACAGTCTAGTGGACAGCCCAGCTGGAGTCAGGCTGTGTGGAGACAACCTGCAAATGTCTGAACATTCCATCTGAACATGGACAGGGGCCTATGTGGGGAAGGGGCAGGTAGATAAATGAATGAGCAGACGGATGGATGGATGGATGGATGGATGGATGGATGGATGGATGGATGGGTGAATGGATGGGTGAATGGATGGGTGGATGATGGACAGATAGGTGGATGGGTGGATGATGGATGGATGGGTGGATGGGTGGATGATGGATGGATGGGTGGATGATGGACAGACAGGTGGGTGGATGGGTGGATGGATGGGTGGATGGGTGGATGGATGGGTGGACGATGGATAGATGGGTGGGTGGGTGGATGGGTGGATGGATGGATGAGATGTATAAGTCCTGCTAACCAAAATGATCATCAGGGAAACCCCTGTGAGGAGTGATGACCTCACCACCAAGCCCTCTCAAGGAAACTGACTCCAGGGCTTGGTCAGGACACTCATGGAAGACCTGGCCCAGCGAGGGACATGGGGTGGTGGGGTGGAGGGTACCTGCGACGCATGCTGGTCAAAAACAGTGTCAAAGATGAAGGTCTTCTCCCGGGACCGGTGTGTGCGCAGTGTGTCCTCGGGGTCCTCGCCGGGGTCCATGAGCACCACCATCTAAGAGCAGGGAGCGGGAGGGTCAGCGGGGAGCCAGCAGAGGGGAACAGGGCAGGCAGGTTTCACAGCACAGGGAGGGGCTTTGTAAACTGTAATGTGTTGAGCCAGCAGCCTGGTTCCTGCACGCTCTGCCCAAGTGACCCTAAGTCTGTCCATTCGCCACGGTTTTATCTCTGCTTGCTCAGGAGCTGCGCCACCAAAGGGAAAGGGAGAGCGGAGGTGTGGGGGTGCCTGGAGGTGTGGGGGTGCATGGGTACCTACAAAGGACCCACCTGAGCTCTGCGGTTCTGTTTCTCTGAGGCCTCGGTTGCTTCTCCTGGGGCCTCTCCCATCTCACATAAATGGGTAATTACCAAGCAAGGTGTGTGAGGACCTCTGGGGACCGCAGGGAGGTTCAAAGGCGCCTCACCCAGGGGACTGGGGGGGCAAGGCAACTAGAAGCCAGTCAGCTCTGTTTATTCCGGGCTGGAGGGCGACTGGGAGGCCCCGCAGGGCCGAGCACTGGGGAAGAACCACAAAGTTTTGGGGGCACAACAGCAGATCAAGAGCCCTGCCTGCTGCCCACCCTTGGTCCACAGCTTTGGAGACAGGTCCCAGGAGGTGAGGGCTGCCCAGAGGTCCCTGGGGAGTCAGGCAGGCTGGGAGCGGCCCCGGGGCTGCCGTGGCTTCTGGCCAGCATCTTTTCCATGACATAAGCCAACTTTCTCCTCCCAGTGATGGGTCTAAGGCAGCGATTTTCAACCTTTTTCATCTCATGGCACAAACAAGTTACTAAAATTCTGCAGTACGCACAAAACTATATTTTTTGCCAATCTCACACAAAAAATAGGCATACTTTTGATTTATAAAATAATAATAATAATTTCCTACCCTTCTAGCTCCAATGTGACTTTTTAAAAAAAGTCACTGGCTGGTGTGGCTCAGCGATTAAGCATCAACCTAAGATCCAGAAGATCGAGGTTCGATTTATGATCAGGGCACATGCCCAGGTTGGGGGCTCGATCCCCTCAGGGGGTCTGCAGGAGGCACCCGATCAATGACTCTCTCATCATTGATGTTTCTATCTCTCCCTCCCTCTCCCTTCCTCTCTCTGAAATCAATAAACATATATTTAGAAAAAAATATAAGTAAATAAAATAAATAAAAATAAAATAAAATGTTGATTCTACGCTCTGTGCTGTTGCGTTGCTGAGTTGCCTGTGAGCTCCACGCCAACTGCCCCCGCCATCTGCCCCTCCCCAAGACAGCGACACACCCGACCCTGCATCCAGCTCATCTTCCCGAGGCTCCAGGCCTGGGCCCACCGCCTGCCTCCCCCTGCCCCTGTGTCCTGGATCCTCTGCCTTTGGGTGCAGACATCCTCCTAGGACCTCTCTGAAGCCGCCTTTCTAACGACAAACGGCAGATCCGGTTCACTGGACAAAATTCTGTTTCACCCCGAATTTGGCATTTATTTTGGCAAGTGAGCAGCAGCATCTAAACCGCGCTGGGATCTCAGTGTCCGAGCCGGTTTGCGAGGAGGGGAAGCCTAGCAGCGCAGCAGGTGCAGGTGCCGTCCCCGATCCCACAATCCTGCCGCAGTCACCATCCCCAGACCTGCGGTCCTGCCGCAGTCTTCTGTCCAGTCCTGAGATCCTGCTGCAGGCACCTATCCGGTCCCCAAACCCTGCTGCTGTCACCCGGGCCCACTGACAGTGCTCCGGCCACCCGACGAGAGGCTGGCTCTTGCGGGAGGCCCGCAGCACCCTCTCCCAGACACCGCCGGCCGCTCCCAGTTCCCTGGGTGCCTCGCAGGCGCCTATCAGAGGCCTTTCTGAGCACCACTCACCCCCGTGGCTCCACTTCTCTGTAGCGCTGAACCCCGACATTACACTCAGCTGTTCACTGCGTGACCCCCACGCGAAGGTGAGCTGAGGGGGCGGGGGGTGGGCCCTTGTCCCCCCCACGGCTCCGCCCCGGCGCCCACGCGAGGGCTGACACAAACATTTTGCCCGCCAGCGAGCTAGCGCGTGAATAAATGAGTCGGCGGATGAACAGGGCACAGGCCAGTCAACTGGAGGACAGGTGAGTGGGCCTGAGGAACCCCACGAGTGCGCGTGAGTGACGCTCGCGGCTGCAGTGGGCACGCCCAGGGACGGTGAGCTTCCAACCCTGAGGACACACCCTCGCGCCCCCACAGCCTCACCTGGTCACCCACTTTGTGGGCAATGACGGTGGCTCCCTCCTCCAGCTCTGCGCCACTGAGCGGGCGGATCCGAAGCGCTACCTGCAGGCGGGACACCACGCGGCTGCGGCCGGGCCCCTTCTCTCCCCCCCCCCCCC